TTAACCACAGGGCTTCGTATTCAATTACAGGCTTCTTATTAGGTTACAGAAGCTAAAATCTTTCAATTTTGCCTCCAACCGGACTTGAACTGTTGACCTTGACTGTGGAGGGTATGGGAGCTTAACCGCTAAGCTATGGAACCCACACCCCAATACTAAATTATTAAAAACAAACTAATTTTATAATATAAATAAAATATATTAAAAAAACTACTAATTATGCATTATAAAAGTTTAGAATAAACAAATTTTAAAATTTATTAAAAAAAATATAAATTAATTTAAATAATAAAAAATTTTATATATTAGAAATTGAATCAAAATAGTATACATAATATCATTAGAATTAGTATAATTTTCAGTATAATCAAAATTGTTCTGATCTATAATGTGCTAATAACAAAAAAAATTATAATAGTATAGTATTATTGAAGTTAGTAAAATGTAATTAGTATTGTTTTGAATATATATTATATAAAAAAAACAAGTCCTGTTTTGCACCAATAAAAAAATATATACATTCAAATATATACATTCAATTTGCTGCATAACATTAAGTTCAAAAGATATAATCCAAATTGATACATATTTATGTAATCCTTAACCAGAATTTCAGGCACACCAAAGTGAATACCCAAAAAGACGAGAACCTAATGATATCAAATTGAAAGTTATATATAAAGTAATACTAGGTAAGAAATGTGAAAAATATAGATTAACTAAATATAGTTAGTAAAGTGAAACTTAGAACATAATAGAATTGGCCGTGTGAAGCATGGCAAATAGGCTAGGGGCCTGAAATGGTCTAGTTAGATAGCCTTCCAGACTGACGATAGGGTCAGCTGTTGTAGATGACGATACCTGGGCACTCGGGAAGTAACTGAATAAGCCGGAACTTTAATATAGTATGTAATAACGATAATTGATGTAAGAATCGTAAGAAAATACTAATAAAGTTCAAATGAAAAAAAACCATTTATAACCATATTTTTTTAACTTGTCATTTTGCCATGATTTGTATAATTTTTTTTTTTTATAATAAATGACATTATCAATTTAAAATGACATGCCATTTATGCTCATTTACATAAAATGTTTATGACTATATTATTTGCTATCAGTCTATAGAGAAATAGATAAACAGTTTATGGATGAGAACGATAACTTGAACAAATTTTTGAACAATATCTTTCAACTGCTTCGCTCAAATCACTTTTTAACCTTCCTATTGTTTTTTTTCGTTCTGGATCAAAAGTTTTTGCCAAAGTATCCTGAAATAATGCCATCAAACTATCGATAAGATTCCATGGAAGACAATGAGATGCTACTTTCTCATTCTGATGGTTTTCAATTTCCTAGATTGTAGAAGTGAAAAAAAGGTGAGTCAAATAGTAGGAAATTTCATAAATATTTGAACTAATACACTAACTAATTTAATTAAATCCAATGTGGCCGTTGTTGCTTCTGACAAACGCCCAAAATCAAGTAATATTCTGATATGGTCGACTTGGTTATGAGTCTATAAATTAAGAATAAATAAGAAAATGAGTTGGTAAATAAATAAAGTCTAATGTAATTAAAGGAAAACGAAATCATACCTTGTAAAAAGATGTTAACCACTCAGGAATAGAGACATATGAATCGACCGTGAGCATTGTTTTCAACACAACAGCTCTATATCGTGATAACGTTTCTTCCTTTTTATCATACTTGTCTAAATATTTTCTTAACATAGCCCAAGCTTTATCTTTATCCGTTCCATGTATAAATTGAGTAGATTCGTTTCCTTTTACCCATGAAAATTTATGCGTACTATTCAAGTTTTGAAAATGAAGTAATAAACTATAAGACACCCACTCATTTTAATATTTGAAACTAAGAGGAAACATACATCGGAGCAGCCATATTAGAGTTTATCAACGACAAGCATTTTCGTGTCATTCCGTCAAATACATCATCTAAAGGGATTTCAAATAGCTTAGCAATTGAGATAGCCAAGTCGAATTTTCCTGCAAAACTACATAGTTTGACTGCTTCCTGAGATTTCATAGGTGTCACTAAAGGGTAATACAAATAAAAACTTTTAGTATATGGTTAAGTAAGAAAGGGTTAATGCCAGGAAAAAGGATATCTATTGAATAATTTACCTTGATCAGAAAATTCGCGTCCTAATTCAAGTCTAGCCATTACCATTGTGTAGCGTTTTGTTAAATCTGTTATTGTAACCACTTCAGTCATTGGTTCACCATCATCTACATAAAAGGATAAATGTAAATTTTATAATTCGATTCTTATTTAGAACGTGAAACAAAATGGTTACCTTTCATAGATTCGTTATCAACTTTTTGCTTTTTTCGTGCCTGTACATGATTCAATTATTAACTAAGATTAAATCATTAATATCCTTAATTAAGGAGTAAATAACTTACTCGGACATTATCAGTTGGAGGTAATGAATTATAGTGAAACCAAGCAAGCGATTTATCTAATACTTCCAACGCGTTAATAGCTGAAAGGTAACTTGAAGCTAATTCAGTCATGCCTTTTTGGAAATTGTCAAATATCGATCCCATATTTTCAACTTTATTAGCATATTGGTACATAATTCGAGCAGCTATGTTTTATTAATTTAAAAAGAAATATGAATATGAATATTCTGAAACGATACCAAACGAAACTATGGATAGTTACCATCTCTATTCTGTTGCCGTGATAAATAATAGGTATAACATATTTTTGAATAATTAGGAGATTCTTTTATATCATGGTTACGTGCATGGAACTCCAATATAGTTTCAAAATCACGTCGAAAATTTATAAATGGAAATTCCAAAAGCTTGCTGACTTGCTTTTTCTCACACATATCACGTACAAAAGGACGAAGATTTGCTTGCTGACTATAAAATATTGAGAATTGCTGTTTAGAGGTTACTGAAACCATGTAATGAAAAAAAAAGTTCTTACGATATTGGATTTGGATTAGACACTATTGCTTTATATGCAAGATCGAACATATCTTTTTTAAGAGCATTAGTAAAAATTTTTGTGCAAAGTTGAGATACTAGGTTACGTCCCTCAGGGGTTTGGCGCTGATGGATGAAAAAAAAAGATCCGATAAATTGGCAGCCTAGAAAAAAAAAATAAAAAAAATAGTATAAAACACATTATTTACCTGCTCGTTACTAAATGCATCCAATGCTAACTTGCAAAAGTTGATAACATAAATGGGCTGTTCACAGTTTTCGTATAAAACGGCGACATGACGATAATATGCAGTCAAATTTCCAGGTATATAATCTTGTGACGGAATAATTGGTCCTGCAGTATAAGGAGGAAGCGCCATATCATGGGCTGGAATAGTATTGAAAATATTGAAATAAATTATGGTGAAATAGATTAATTATCACCAATTAACAAGATCAGAAGAAACAATCCGATTTACCGAATCCAGCTCCTGCTCTTTTAAATTTATACTCAGCTTCATCATATTTACGCTCTTTTAAAAGTTGCTTTCCATGAAGGTATAAATTTGCTGGTGTATCAAGCAATAAACGAACGTATTGATGAAGATGACCTATATAACCAGATGCTTCCAAAAGATGGCCAAATTTAGCATATGTTTCAGGTGCCATAACCATGATATGTGGTGTTTCTGGTAAAAATCCAATTTTATCCAATAATTCTTGAACTCCACGCGTGATTATTATAGGCATTAATTGTGATCTGAATCTCAGATCAAAAGGGTATTGTTGGACAATAAGACTATAGATCAAGCTATATCGCAAATCTGGAGATTCTACATCCTTCGTGGCATCAATCATGTTCAAATGGGGAAATTTTTTTATCAAGCCATTTTCAGAAGCAGTATCTGTTATAGCATCTGAATATGCAGATTGTTCTGATATCCACTTTAGTATCATATATACATATAGAGTAGACATTGCCATAGATACTCTTTGATCAAAGCCAGAGCTTGGTTTAGTGCTAAGTATTACTACCAATAAGAGAAATATATTACGTGCTATCATATAATGAGACTGAATAACATCAGTTGCAGCTGATGCGATTAAAGCGTCCACGAAAATGGTAGTTTTAGCAGTATCAATTCCATCATCCCTTTCATGAATTATAAATTTAACATCATTCAAAGCTCCAATAATGGTGTGAAATGCTCTTTCTAATTGTGAACACAAATCTAATCTAGACCATATTTTTGCTTTTAATTCTGGTGACAAACGGTGACGTAAATAATTATCGTATAAGTCCGAAACACTTTGCGCCACTGAAACCATCATCGGTTTAGGTAGTGTTTGAATGATTTTACGGTCGAAGATTAATAAGTCAATTTCTGTCATAGGAGATATAACCAAGTTTGCAGCGGCAAACATATTTATTATATCAATATCTTCACTTTCACCTATCATAGGATACGATGGAAATAATTGATTGCATGATATACTTAAATTTAATTCATGTGCTTCTTCCCCAGTATAATATTGTATGAATTCTAATATATCACAAACACGAAGTACAGATATGCTATCTTGATGAGTAATACCTACGAAAGGACCAGTTTGAACTAGAGAGAGACTCAATGGAAGGCTAGCACGTTCTCGTATTTCAATGCATAATAATACAAAACGTAACCATTCATTTATAACACTTGTTCTGTGTTCATTTTCGAGTGGAATATCGTTCTCACGATCATTATGTAAACGAATATGTCTTGCCACCACTTGTTTTACTTTTTGTTTAAGATCTCCATCAATGTTCGAAAGATTAAAATCT